ACCTATTCCTTCCCAGGAGGGCAAAAATGTGGAATAGTGTCTGTCCATGCCTCTCCTCATGGGCCACTACCTCAGCCACCCTGGTTAATCAGTAACAACCAGGAGAGGAGCTGCTGGAACTGACCTCTGGGAACTCCCTGGATGGTTTGGTGCAGGAATGTAGTAGGCATACACATGGTAGCGTGGATCTGGGCCCTCCTGATGTGAGGTGGTAAAAGGCCACCATCTCCCTGACCTCTGGGGAGCTCGTCCACAAATAAGATGTTTCCAAGATGCTTCTGAAGGTTGCCTAAAAATAGCCGGTTTCCACCCCCGTAAATGCGTCCATTCCAGAATGCTCCTTCACCAGGACCAGAGAACTGATTTACAGAAGTGACATGAAAACATTCCATCCCAGAATTTGTAGTAGCTCAAGTTAAGTTTCTAGCTATTAAACAAAACAAAACAAAAAACACCCACCCTGTTCACTTATAAGCAGCACTGAGTAATTTTAAGTAGTTTGAGAAAATGTATGTGGTTTGAGGGTCAGGGTTGTCCAGAGCCAGGACCAGTTATGTGGGAATTGTGATTGGCTGGATTTGAGGAGGAGAAACCCATGGCCCAATTCCAACCCACTGAAATCTAAGCAGATTCTAGGTGGTTGGGCGGACCTGGTAGGCGTTGGTTTATTTTATTCCCGAAAAAGGCCCTCGAGCAACTCATGGGCCTCACATGGAATCCTGCTGAAAGGCTTCCGTCTCATCTGGCCTTTTCCTCCTCTTAAGGTTCTGCTCCACCTTTTACCCTCGGCGTAACCATGAGGTCTGAAAAGCGCATCATCTACCTGATGGTCAGACGTTGTTGACCCTGTGATGCTGTGTAACATTTCATTTTCGAGGCATGGGGAGTCTCCTATTTCATGTAGATGGGAACCTGGAGGTCTTTGGGCAAGTTGCCATCTTTTTATTGTTCCAAGAGTTTGGTGAAGCGTTTGAACCTTCACCTGTCAAAATCAGTTTTGGAATGAGAACTGCTCTCTCTGTAGCTCCTTAGAATAGCAGACGGAGGCCGGGCGCGGTGGCTCACGCCTATAATCCCAGCACTTTGGGAGGCCGAGACGGGCGGATCACGAGGTCAGGAGATCGAGACCATCCTGGCTAACACGGTGAAACCCCGTCTCTACTAAAAAATACAAAAAACTAGCCGGGCGAGGTGGCGGGCGCCTATAGTCCCAGCTACTCGGGAGGCTGAGTCAGGAGAATGGCGTGAACCCGGGGGGCGGAGCTTGCAGTGAGCTGAGATCCGGCCACTGCACTCCAGCCTGGGCGACAGAGCGAGACTCCGTCTCAAAAAAAAAAAAAAAAAAAGAATAGCCGACGGAAGGTATCGTTTATCCCAATGAGACCATAAAGGGGGCTTTCCCATGTGAACACCCACCTTGAATTCGATTGGAAACAGAAGTTCTGGGCATTGTATTTTTTGTAAATTTGGCTCAGACTTCAACTAGGTCATATTTCCCCCAAAATCTTTTCAAAAAAGACTTGTGTCTCATTCCTTTTGACTAGCATGTGTAAGCTGGGTAAAAATAGAGCAAGCTGATTTCATGTTAATGATTTCATGTTAGGTTTATGAATCAAATCTGCGAGTCTGCTTTTGAAAAGCATTTAACATGTAACTTGGGAAAGTTAGAGTTTTGCAGGCTAATGCCTGTGGCCCAATGAGACTTCATAGCTCCATCCAGTCCCTCCTGGTGCAAGAGATCAATGCCTTGAGGGTGCCTGGCCACCACCATTACCCCGACAGTATACCCACTATTTATTTATTTATTAATTACCCTTTTGAAGTTTGCTCTTCTCCCTTTAACTTAAAGGAAATTGGCATGGGAACTTGTTTGATCTGGAATTTCTGATAATCAGTAGGTAGTAACTCTGTAATCAATCGCACTTCAAAACAACAACCAAATAACAGGATAGCTAATCCAAAAAATTCAGTCATGGTCAAGGACTTCCAGCTCAGGAAATGTCTGGTCCCGTGGGGTGAATTCCTTGGATAACCAAGTTCTGTGCAGGGCCTGGAGTTTTATGCAGACCATTGCTCCTTGATTGACCACAGGACCTTAAAAGGGAGGGCTGGCTTCATGACCACATGACCTGTGTGCTCAGAAGGGCCCTGTGCTTGATTTATTGCTCTGCTGTTGCTGTCTTGAAGTTCTTAATTTTTTTTTTTTTTGGCAGTAGGGAGTTGCAGTTTCAAACAACACTCATTTATTGTCTCACAGTTTCTGTGGGCCAGGAGTCCAGCCATGGCTTAAGACCAGCTCCTCTGCTCCAGGTCTCACAAGACTACAAGGAAGGTGCCATCTCGGTTGTGTTTTCATCTGAATGCCTAACTAAGGAAAAATCCACTTCATTCAGATTCATTCAGGTTCATTCAGGTTTTTAAAAGAGTCCGTTTCCATGTGATTGTCTCACTGATGGTCCCAGCTTTTTACTAGCTGTTGCTTGGAGGCTAACCTCAGGTTTTAGAGGCTACACTCATATCTCTGCCACGGGGCCTTCTGCATAGGCAGGTAATGACACGGCTGCCTGTTTCCTCACAGCCAGCAAGAGAATCTGTCTCCTGTCTGCTAAAGTGGAGTTTCATGCATCATAATATGGTCATGGGAGTAATAGCCCGTCACCTCTGCCGTTGTTCTGTTGGTTAGAGTAAAGGCACAGGTTTTCCCCACACTCAGGGAAGAACCCATGATATAAAGACTTTCAGTAAAGGAGACAACAAACAGAATATGGAATGATCAGAATTACTCTTATGACCCAGACCAAGAGCATCAGCATTACCTGTGAATTTATGGGAAATTCAAATTCTCCTGTTTCACCCCTGGCCTGTTAAATCAGAAACTTGAAAAGCGAGCCCAGCTTTCTGTGGTTTAACAGGTCCTTCAGGTGATTCTGACACCTGCTAAATTTTGAGAACCACTGGTCTAGAGGCAGGCAGGTCTTGCTCCCCTAGGAGTTAAGTTTGATGTATCTTCTGGTAATACTGAGAAATGAGCTGGGAAATGGTTCCAAAATCAGGTTATCCTCCCCAGGATCAACAAGACTCATGCTTGCAAAAGAGAGCGAAGAAGAGAAACTAAAAAAAGCAAGAGGCTGTGTGTGAAGCTAGATTCAGACAATTAAAGACAGCAACACATGGCAAAAGATGGGAATTTGAGGAAGTGGGTAGTGAAAGCAATTCTTGAGCTAAATTACAAGAAAAGACAGTGAATTTGTATCTGTTTCCTGTATTTAGGGGCCTGGCTTAAACGTTAGTGATACATTTGGGGAGTAGAAAATGGATGTTGGTGTGAAGTTCTTAAGTTTTGGACAAGGAACTCTGTATTTTCATTTTTCTCTGAGCCCCATGAATTATGTAGACAGTCCTGCTTCGAAGTTATTATTTATACAGTTCATTATAGAGAAAGTCCTCGGGAACCTTAACTTTGAGTGAGGATTGCTTGAATTAGTTTTTCTTACCAGCCACTCCATGATACTCTTTGTTTTTTCCAGGTTAGATGATCAAGTTTTATTATGACTGAATCTGCAACTACAAAATTAATTCTGATTAATTAATTAAATTCTGATGATTTCTCTCTGATGGTTTGGGTGTGGGCTCTTAAAGAGGGTCTTTTGTTGCAAGAAGATAATAACAATAATCAGGTTAATTAAATAAAGCTGTCACCCTTTCAGTTTTGAGTGGCATGCCACACACCCCTTATCAGCATGTGAGTTGCTTTTCATGTGGTTGTGGTTGGGTTTCATTAAGTGTAGTTTGGCATGTGTTCAACCAGCGTTCAGGTGGCTCTTGGTGGGTGGCTGGGGAGACACGAAGATGCAGACAGCTTAGTCCCTCCCCAGCAAGCGGTTTCAGTTCTGGAGTGAGGTGGGAGCCCAAGGAACTCACACGTAAATGCTGGTGGGAGTGAAGTGCCACCAGCTGTAGAATCTGGTGTCAGAATTATGAGCCACGAGTTGTCCCACAGGAGGATGGGTGAAGGTCTTCCCATCAAAGGAATGGAGAACACACGAAGAGGTCCAGGGGCTCAGGGCAAGATAGTCCAGGAACGAGGAGTCTTTGAGCCTGCAGTATGGTGAGTGGGAGTGGCAAGAGTGGAAAGCGGATCAGATGGGTGTTGTGTAGGTTCTGAGGTGCTATATGTTTAAGAGCTGACTGTGTGTAGCAGGGACCCTGGTGAATTTGGAAGCACAGAAGTACCTGACGAGAAAGATGGTACCTCTTTCTCCGGGAGGCGGAGGTTGCAGTGAGCCCAGATCGTGCACACGTGCACACACGCATGCACACACACACAATCTGGTACACTGTATACTACCAGGTTAGCAGGTTGTTACCTCTGGGATGCAGTCACTCCTTTTTATCATCTATATTTGTGAAATGATTTATTTCAGTTTTTGAGACAGCGTCTCACTCTGTTGCCCAGGCTGGAGTACAGTGGCGTGACCTTGGCTCTCTGCAACTTTGGCTTCCCAGGCTCAAGCGATCCTCCAACCTCAGTCTCCTGAGTAGCTGGGACTACAGGAGTGAGCTGCCATGCTTGGCTAATTTTTATTTTTTTCTTGGTAGAGAGGGAGTTTTGCCATGTTGCCCAGGCTGGTCTTGAACTCCTGAGCTCACAGCAATCCTCCTGCCTTGGCCTCCCAAAATGCTGGGGTTACAGGAGTGAGCCACTGCACCTGGCCATTATTATGGAAAATTTTAAGCATACAGAAAAGTAGCGACAGTGGTATCTTACGTGCTCATGAACCGATGATCCAGTGACATCCGTTAACAGCATTTTGGAATCATATTTCATCTCTTCTTGTCCTCAGGTGTTTTGAAGCAAATTTCAGCATTACATCCTTTCACTCTTAAGTATCTCAGTATGGTTCTCTAATAGTTGAAGACTCCATTTACATTTATATAAGGAGCATAATTTACACTTGTGTAACCCAAAGGACTGACCAAGCCTGTGCCTCTCTCCGCAGATAGCAAAGCCATTGTGGATGGGAACCTGAAGCTCATCTTGGGTCTGGTGTGGACGCTGATCCTCCACTACTCCATCTCCATGCCTGTGTGGGAGGATGAAGGGGATGATGATGCCAAGAAGCAGACGCCAAAGCAGAGGCTGCTGGGGTGGATTCAGAACAAGATCCCCTACTTGCCCATCACCAACTTTAACCAGAACTGGCAAGATGGCAAAGCCCTGGGAGCCCTGGTAGACAGCTGTGCTCCAGGTAAGTGCGCAGGGCTGCCTAAACCATCTGTCCAGGATGGGGGCATGTGGGTCCCAAACATTCTGGTTTTCAACAGGAATGCTATCTTTGCCTTGATTGGCGTATTTCTCCAGGTCTTGGCCCATTATAAAACGGCTAAGGAAACTAAAACTGGCTCTGTTTACCCTTCCAAGGGCAGATCTTCTAGATATATCCATAGACATGTTTGAGCATCAAGTTGAAACTTTTATCCAAATTCCAGTGAAGGAGTTGGTGCTTAGAAGCAAGACTTGGGTTTAGCTTCCAGACTCCAAAATCCTGTGTCTTCCCACATTGGCGCTCAGTTTCTTGTTGGATTTGGAGAAACATTTGGTCCTATTAGGTGGCTTGGCATGAAAATCTAAAAACTTCCATGGAGTGGAAAGTACCCATTTTTATTAACCACTGGTTTGACTATATATGGCATTCTCCACCCTTTTCTTTCTGTGTTACTGTGAAATAGCACTTGGTCAGGATTCAACTGGAGCCTTTTCCACCCTTGATAGGCTGCTTATTTCTTAGTGGCTGAGTGTATATGAAGATGAAGGCTGTAATTATTCCCACTGGAGGGTTTAGACTGATGGGTAGAAAGACCAGAGCCAGAGTTTACACACACACCCCCTAAAGTTGATTTTAATAATAATAATAAAAAGGTATTAATCATATTTTCCATTTACTGTGTATTCTGTATTTACTGGGCACATTAGTATTTAGTTAGTGGTTCTTGACATACTCAAAGCAGAACTAGTGTAGTTGGGTAGGGGAGGGCTGAAGGCCTCATTCTTCCTTGAGCGTCTATAAGTTGGTGTCATCCAGGAAAAATTCAAAGTGCAGCATTAATTGATTTCCTAATATCCTCTTTTTTACTTCCATTTAAGGACACATTTTAGGATACCTCTTTCCAATTTAAACCTGGGAGTTTTTACCCTAGTCCTTTACCTCTTGTGCTTATAAAGCCTTTTAAGATAATTCTAGGTTTGCACCTTTGAGCAAGTGAGTTTTTGAATCACACAGGATGCTACTCTAGACTTTTTAGGTATATCCAGGAATAGAGTTAAAAAAAAAAAATCCCTCCTGCATAAAGGCACCGGGCTTTTTCCAAGCTTTGTTTATTTTTTAACACCACTCCTTCAAGGAATGGATAATCCCCATCTTCATGCAAGAACATAGCACCCAGAGGAGAAGTCTCAGTGATGGAGGATATTTTATACCCTGGCACACTCATACCTGTGATACTTTTTGCCTATTAAATATATGATTCGCTCAGATTTTAAGAAAAAATCATTCTCTGAACTAAAAGAACAAATGGGGTTAGTTTAGGCACATGGTTTCCTTTAATCTGTTTGATCAGCTAATGCTAAAAGCATCTTTTGTGTTCTGTTAACAGGTCTGTGCCCAGACTGGGAATCCTGGGACCCGCAGAAGCCTGTAGATAATGCACGAGAAGCCATGCAGCAGGCAGATGACTGGCTGGGTGTCCCACAGGTATGCACAAGTGTGCCAGGTCCTGTGAGGTTGCCCCCACCACTAGCTTGTCCTGTGGATGCCTTCCTGGGTCAGGGAGGCAGCCCGACCTTCTTGGCATTGAGACTTAAAAGAGCATTGCCTGTGATGCGCTCTCATCTTCCTCAGTTTACCCATAATAGTAGGTTCTTATTGACTTAGGTGCTTATAGATCTTAGTGTGTTGGTTTAATGTAGATCATCTAGAAATTTTCATGTCACTCTTCTTTGTCACACACTGGCAAATTTCCTAGTATTTCTTCTTTAAATATTTTGAAGGCTACCTTTAAACCCCAGACTACAAATATGAACCCTAACTATTAGGTTGAGCCATAAGAAATTGATAGTATTTGAACATTTTTCAATCTACATTTTAAAAGGTAATTTTAATCCAGTAGCTTAGGAAAAGTCACAGGACTTAAAACTTTTGGTTTTTTTTTTTTTTTTTTTTTTTTTTTTTGAGATGGAGTCTCGCTCTGTCGCCCAGGCTAGAGTGCAGTGGTATGATCTCGTCTCACTGCAACCTCCACCTCCCGGGTTCAAGCAATTCTCCTGCCTCAGCCTCCTGAGTAGCTGGGATTACAGGTGCATGCCACTGCGCCTGGCTAATTTTTGTATTTTTAGTAGAGACAGATTTTACCATGTTGGTCAGGCTGGTCTCGAACTCCTGACATCATGATCTGGCCGCCTCGGTCTCCCAAAGTGCCGGGATTATAGGTGTGAATCACTGCGCCCAGCCGACTTAAAACTTTTAAAAACATGTAAGCCGGGATAATCCACCATTAATGGAAACTCTGGAATAATCTCTATCACCCGTAATTCTATCATAGGAATATAACAAGAGGACTCAGAAATCAAGTAAGTCTTGGATACAATCTACAGTAGTCACATTGCTTAGTTGAAGTCTGATCTTCCTAGCTGGGAGGAAAACCAGTGTTTTCTTTCCAGAAACTCCCTCTAACAGTTAGGCACCATGAGTCCCGTGTCCAAAGGCTAGCCAGGGAAGATTACAGGTAGCCAGTGCCATGGGACTGGTGGCCTCGCTATAGGCTGCACTGAGGTCTGAGTTCAGTGTATTTTGTAACAGGGTCCCTTGGAAGGTAGAACAACATGCCTGTTTCTTTGGTTTGGTTTTGGAGTCATGTCTCTCTTACATGGCCCATTTGTTTCTTGGCTCGTCCACTCAGGAAGTGGTGTGGTGTGTTTTTCATCTCCGCTTAAACCTAAACCGTCTCCTTTTTACGTTCATGTGATGTTGGCATGGGTGAAGTTGTTGAAGGAGCTGCCGGGAAGAAATGCCAAATCGACACACATCCTACTTTTTATGGAATGTATTGAAGGCGACTGTTCAAACCCAAGTAGCTCTTTTGTTCCTGCAGGCTAATGGTCAGAATGTTTTCTGGTGCTTTTTATCACATGGGGAGGGAAGTTGGACATGTCTGTTGTTCGTTGCACATGGTAAACCTGGTTCATGAGACAGAGCCTCTGTTCATCCGAGGAAGTGTGATTTACCTCCTTAGCACCATTACTGGAGGCAGGGAGGACTCTGCATGCTGTTTAGGGCTGGGTCAGGTGATGGTACTGAAATTGAGGTGGCACCTTCAGGGAGGTCACCTGTCTAGGATGGGTCTAGTCTTGCTCCTAAACTGAATGTCAAGAGAAATTCACCCATTCCCTATTTATTTATTTATTTATTTAAGACGGAGTCTTGCTCCGCCACACAGGCTGGAGTGCGGTGGCACAATCTCAGCTCACTGCAACCTTCGCCTCCTAGGTACAAGCAATTCTCCTGCCTCAGCCTCCCGAGTAGCTAGGACCGCAGGTGTGTGCCACCGTACCCGGCTAGTTTTGTATTGTTAGTAGAAATGGGGTTTCACCATGTTGGCCAGGGTTATCTCGAACTCGTGACCTCATGATCCGCCCACCTCGGCCTCCCAAAGTACTGGGATTACATGCATGAGCCACTGCACCCAGCCTTTTCTTTTCTTTTTTCTTTTCTTTTTTTTTTTTTTTTTTTAAGAGACGGCGTCTTACTCCTCTGTCACCCAGGCTGGAGGGCAGTGGCATGATCTTGGCTCACTGAAACCTCCACCTCCTGGGTTCAAGCCATCCTCCTGCCTCAGCCTCTATAGTAGCTGGGATTACAGGTATCTGCCACCGCACCGGGCTAATTTTTGTAGTTTTAGTGGAGATTGGATTTCACCATGTTGGCCAGGCTGGTCTCAAACTCCTGATCTCAAGTGATTCTCTTGTCTCGGCCTCCTAAAGCAATGGGATTACAGTCATGAGCCACCACCCCTGGCTTCCCAATTTTTTTAATGGCTCCTAATATATTGAGATCACATATCTAATATTTACATGTTGTTTCTTTTTTATTTACCTTTTTTTTTTTTTTTTTTTTTTTTTTGAGACGGAGTCTTGCTCTGTGCCCCAGGCTGGAGTGCAGTGGCGCGATCTCAGCTCACTGCAAGCTCCGCCTCCTGGGTTCACGCCATTCTCCTGCCTCAGCCTCCCGAGTAGCTGGGACTACAGGTGCCCGCCACCTCGCCCGGCTAATTTTCTTGTATTTTTAGTAGAGACGGGGTTTCACCGTGTTAGCCAGGATGGTCTCGATCACCTGACCTCGTGATCCGCCCGTCTCGGCCTCCCAAAGTGCTGGGATTACAGGCTTGAGCCACCGCGCCCGGCCTTATTTACCTTTTTTAATTAGTAGAGTTAATACAGATACAGACCATGAATATATGAGCAAAGGAAAAAGCTGGTTAACCTGTGCACTTTTTTGTAACATGCTCTCATCCTGTGTGTGCTTCTTTCTTCATTTTCCTGACTTGCTATAGTTTATCCTTTTATCATTTTTGAAAGCTTTGACCAGAGGAGTAAATGGACTTTTGGGGAATGGGGAGGACAATGAACTTTTGGAAGTTACATGCAGAATTTTTTGGAGAGGGGCCCCTAGCTTTCAAAGGGGCCTGCAATTTCTCAAAAATGGTTAAAAACACTGATGTTGGTCTGTTGGTTTAATGTAATTTCACTTAATTGAGAAGCTGACTCAGTTTCCTAATATTTGTAGTGGTTGATTTAAGAGGCATTTGCAAACACTTCAATAGTTGCAAAGTGATGTGTTCTGGGTGTTCATCCACCATGTCATTATCCTAGGTCATCACTCCTGAAGAAATCATTCACCCGGATGTGGACGAGCACTCGGTTATGACTTACCTGTCCCAGTTCCCCAAAGCCAAGCTCAAGCCAGGGGCTCCTCTCAAACCCAAACTCAACCCGAAGAAAGCCAGGGCCTATGGCAGAGGTGAGTGTTGGTCCTCTGATGTTGTGTTGGAGACATGTCCTCTGGTGTTGGAGATGATTTCATGGCTTCAAGGGTGATGTTCTCGGAAACAAAAATATATGAGTGTAATCCTCAAAGATACCCCAAGTCTCCTTTATAACACATTTTATGACTGTTTTATTCTGCCTTGTTTTTCTAAGGCTTTAAGAAATCCTTCTGCTTAGATGGAAAGGGCAAGTTTGCGGCTTGGTGATTTTAGTGCAGTAGCCCATTGCTCCCATTTTTCAGAAGAGGAATCATGGGGTAGGGAGTCGGGGTTGTTTGGTCTTGCCCCAGATCACTATAGTCAGTGATGGGGGTGGGCCATCTGGCTGCTGATTCATTTCTCCTTCTGTTACACTAAGACTGCCTCAGATTTCCAGCGGGAGTGGGAGCTATTGTTAACCCCTGGCAGATACTTCCTTGCTAAGACATCCTGTTTATGACTGTGAGGCAGCTGCAAGAACACCGTTCTGCTCAGAACATTATAGTGGGTAGAAGCCATTTCAAGGCGTTTGGCGTTGTGACTGGCACCTGACTTCAGGCACACTAGCTTTGTGAAGAGAACAGTTACATGGCTGCAAAGTGTGGTTTCTGGTAAAGGTCAACACGGCCAGATACAACTTAACGCCTTTTCTATGGGGGAGGGGAAGGAGTGCATTTTATTTCTCATTTTTCATAATTAAGAAAATATCAGCTGGGTGCGGTGGTTCATGCCTATAATCCCAGCACTTTGGGAGGCCGAGGCAGGCGCATCACCTGAGGTCAGGAGTTGGAGACCAGCCTGGCCAACATGGTGAAACCCCATCTCTACGAAAAATACAAAAATTAGCCGGGTGTGGTGGTGGGCGCCTATAATCCCAGCTACTCAGGAGGCTGAGGCAGGAGGATTGCTTGAACCCGGGAGGCAGAGGTTGCAGTGAGCCGAGATCATGCCACTGCACTCCAGCCTGGGTGACCAAGTGTGTGAGCCTCCATCTCAAAAAAAAAAAATGTTATCCCAGTGGGAAAACAGTTATACACACAATATTCTGTATATCTTCTCCCAGAATTGACAGTTGTTACCGTTCTAGCTTAATGGTTTTCTCTTGCCCTTTATGTGTATTTGCATATGTGTTTGTGTATATGATTGCTGAATTATTTGAAAATAAGTTGCAAGCATGATGACAGTTCTGTCCTCAGTACATCACTAAGCTTCTCCTAATAGGATATCCTCTTGCATAAGCATAGTACTCATTGCCATATGTAAGAAAATTAACAATAGTTTCATATAGTATTGTTTGTGTTCGAATTTCCCTATTGTCCTAAGATTGTCTTTTATAGTTGTTGTTTTACAAACTAAAATCTGATTAAGGTTCACTTACTGCATTTGTTATTTCTCTTTAGACTCTTTTCATGCTAAATAATTTCCCAAAACTTTTTTTTTTTTTAAATGACACTGACTTTCTGAACAGTTAAGGGCGTGTGTCTTGTAGGATGTTCCTTCCCTACATAGGTTCCCTTTGAATAAAGCATTTTCCTGCTTGGTATCAGCTTAGTGTTTTGTTTTGTTTTGTTTTTTTGAGACAGAGTCATGCTCTGTTGCCCAGGCTGGAGTGCAGTGGCACGTTCTCAGCTCATTGCAACCTCTGCCTCCTGGGTTCAAGCAATTTTCCTGCCTCAGCCTCCCGAGTTGCTGGGATTACAGGCGTCCACCACTATGCCTGGCTAATTTATGTATTTTTAGTAGAGATGGGGTTTCACCATGTTGGCCAGGCTGGTCTCCAGCTCCTGGCCTCAGGTGATCTGCCCAACTCGGCCTCCCAATCAGCTTATTCTTAAGATGACACATGGCTAGAGCAGTGGTGCTGACCACGTACTATTCTTACCTCAGTGGCCAGGTCTTCTCATCTGACTTTTTGGGCATGATATAGACCAGCAGATAGTTCTGGAAGGAACCCCTTACCATTTGAGGTTCTGTTTGCAGTAAGGTGTGAGGTCTGTGACATCACTTGTGTTATGTAGGGACTAGGGACTTCAGAGCCCTCCTCCCATTCACAGTCACTTGAAGGTTGGCATGTCCTCACTTGCTTTAAAAGTGCTTTCTTTGGCCTGGTTTGGTGGCTCACGCCTGTAATCCCAGCACTTTGGGAGGCCGAGGCGGGCAGATCACGAGGTCAGAAGATTGAGACCATCCTGGCTAACAAGGTGAAACCCCGTCTCTACTAAAAATACAAAAATTAGCTGGGCGTGGTGGTACAAGCTTGTAGTCCCAGCTACTTAGGAGGCTGAGGCAGGAGAATTGCTTGAACCCGGGAGGCGGAGGTTGTAGTGAGCCAAGATCGCGCCACTGCACTCCAGCCTGGGTGACAGAGTGAGACTCCGTCTCAAAAAAAAAAAAAAAATAAAAAAGAGGTGGGGCTTTCTTTAAGGCATACCACAGGTGGTGGTTGGAATGAGGAATCTCTGATTGTAAAGATTATGCTTCCTTAATGGCAAAACAGTTGCAAACAACCAAATAAATCCTTTGTCAACCAGATTGGTCAAATGGACTGAATCTAATCAAGGCATAATGTATGTTTGTAATAACCTTATCAGTGGCTGTCCGGCTTCCCTGTTGTTAATGTGAGACGGTTTCCTTTCATGGTGCTATTTTCTAGAAAATGATCACTTGTTACGGTTCAGGAATGTGGCTGCTCATTGCCATTTCCTTCATCTGCCTCTTAGCAAGTGTGGTGCACTTGTGGAGGAAACACACCCTTTTTAAAAAAAAAATTTTTTTATATGTGTGCATTTTGCATTTTTTTAAACTGTGGGAAAATAGCCATAACATAAAATTCACTATCCATTTTTAAGTGTGGCATTAAGTGTATTCACGTTGTTGTGCAAACGCCACTGCTATCCATCTCCAGAACTTTTTCAGCTTCCCAAACTGAAACTCCATACTCATTAAACAATAACGCCCCATTCTGTCCTCCCCTCTGCTCCTGGTAACCTTTATTCTACTCCCTGTCTCTGTGAATTTGCTTATTCTAGGTAGCTCCTAGAAGTGGAATCATATGCTGTCTGTTAGATACCTCCTAGAAGTATAGTCACGTGCTGTCTTTTTTTCCTCTGGCTTACTTCACTCGTCATATGTTTTCACGATTCATCCATGTTGTAGCATGTATCAGAATTTCATTCCTTTTTAAGGCTGAATAATAATCCTTTGTATGTCTATATTTTGCTTATCCATTCGTCTGCTGATAGACATTTGGGTTGCTACAATCTTTTGGCTATTGTGAATAATTCTGCTATGAAAACATGGGTGTACAAGTGCTGTTTGAGACCCTGCTTTCAATTATTTTAGGGATATACCCAGAAGTGGAATTGGTGGATCATATGGTAATCGTATATTCAGCTTATTTTTCAGGAGGAAGTGGCCTCACTCTCCTTTTTAAAGTAGGAAGAAAAAATGGTCATATTAGGTGACAGGGTCACAAGGCCACATGGGTGGGGCTGTGAGATATTGTTCTTGTCATGTGGTGAGGTGAAAGCCAGTGTCAGTTTTGGTCTCCTCTGCGTGACCACATTGCTTCATTTCTGCCACCTGAGCCCAGGAAGAAAGACTGTTTCATCTTCTTGTTTCTAAAAGATTTGAAAGTGTTGTTTTATTTTTTATTTCCTGGTTGTTTAATAGATGCCAGTTGCCAGCCAGTTAGCATTTGTCGATCTATTCACTGAGCCCTACCTTGCTTAGTTCCAGTGGGTTGAAAGGAGAGAGGGCTGGGGTGAGGTGGGCCTCCAGCCACAGATCTTTGTGGTGGGCTTCCTTGCAGGGTTAACTATGTGAAAAGCATTCGTCCATAAGCTAATCAGAAATCTTTGTAAAAATCTAGTTCTCTATGAAGCATTTACTGTAGAGCAATCCTTAAGCATCCTTCTATCTGAGTAATCAGAGGGGGGCCAGTTGTCTTCTTTCATGGTAAGCAAAGCTCCACAGGAGTTTACAGAGTAGGGGTGTGGTTCAGCCTCTTAACCAACCATGGTTAGCCACAGGTGACCAACCCAAGCCCAGACCTTTGACAAGCTGCAGAGTAAGTTGTTTCTTAGGCTGCTGGAGTCAGGCGAAGTGGGACTTTTAGTATTTTAGGTGCATGTTTATTTACTTATTTTTGTTGTTGTCATTTTGAAATAGAGTCTCACTCTCTCTCTCAGTGTGGAGTATTGTGATGCCATCACGGCTAACTGCAGCCTTGACCTTCTGGGCTCAAGTGATTCTCCCGCCTCAGCTTCCCTAGTAGCTGGGACCACAGGTGTGCACCACCATGCCCAGCTTATTTTTTTAATATTTTATTTTGAGACCAGCCTGGCCATGTTGCCCAGGCTGGTCTCAAAATCCTGAGCTCAAGCAGTCCTCCTGCCTTGGCCCCCCAAAGTGGTAGGATTACAGGCATGAGCCACCATGCTTGGCCATTAGGTGTATGTTTAAATCCATTTGCTTATATCAGTTACATAACCTGACTGTTATGTAAATTTTAAGCAAAAGAAAAATATATGAAATAAAATTTGAAACTCACCTCCCAACTGCCAGTCTCATTTCTGCCTTCAAAGTTTGAGGTATTTATTTCCAGCCTTTTTTCTATGCTGAGTTAAACTGTGTATCTTTTTTGCTTTGCATTTCTTCCTGAGCAGTGTGGGAAGGCTACCTTTTAGACTTTATTTGTAATTCTTTATAATTTTTGCCTTACTTTCTTTTTAGGTAGAAAGATTATCTTATTATATAACAGTCTACGGCCATTTTTTCTTAAACTAAATTATTGGGAAATGAATAGAAATCCAGAGTATAGTAACAAATGACCTAGTGTCTTTAACAGATTTGTAGCAAGGAAAAGGAAGTGATGGAGAGACAGCCAGAGGTTAAATGAGACTTAAGAGACTTAGCAACCATTTGTAATATGTGACCTTATTTGGATCCTATTCCAACTGATGGTTAAAAAAATTCACGATAGCCAGGTGCTGTG